CTTGAAAGCCACTAATTTCACCAAGTTCCACAATCGTGCTAATTATATATATGATTGTAGATTGTTTTTTATGTAGAATAAACAAGTCATTGGTTCTATTGAGATTGGTGTTAATATAATGCTATTATGTTTTTGTAAAGTATCCTATATTGGTTTAAAAGCAATGCCTAACACTCCAAACATGTTAATTAGCCATTGTGCTAATTACTATCATCCATTGATATTTTTTTGACCATCACAACTTATGGGCAAATAAAAACCTTCAAGAATCTTTATTTAATATCATAAAATAATTTAAAATATTTTTTTATAATATTATCAAATATTTATGGATTTTTTTAAGTTTTTATATAAATAACCTTTTGTATCTATTAAAAGAAGTAGAAATTGTATAATAATAAGATTTATATTAATATATGTTATGCTTCACTATTTATAAATTATTTTGTAATATAAAATTAATTACTTAGAATATTATATATTTATTTCTATTACTTAAAAAAATTATTATAACTTGTTAAATATTTCTAATAAAAAAATTATGGTCTTTATCTTTTTGATTCAACATGAATATTTGTGGCAAGTCTTATTTGAAAAAACAATTAGAATTTCTTTGTTTTTATTTTTACTTTTTTACAAATTTGGTTTAAAAAATATTAATATATAAACATTCTTTCAATATATAATACATGGAAATTTATTTACTATCAATTATCTAACTTTAAGTTATCTTAGATTGTATATTTTACATAATAAATTAAAAAGTTCAAAATCTTATGCTTTCTACATTAACAATTAGTTCAATATATTCTATTAATTTTTTTAATCCAATGTATAAATATCAAGTATAATATATTAGAAATAGGACCTATCTATATATATATATATATATATATAACTAGAATACCAAAATGCTACACTATGACATTTTTAATCATTCTTTTGAATGATAAAACTAATTTTAATATATGATTAGTAGCCTTACCATTTTAATTTTTAAAAATAAAATAAAGACATAATTACTATTTGAATTCATTTACAATTTATTCCAAGATTAATTTGTAATATTCAAATGCTGCAAAAATATAATATATTTTCCAACCAATTAAATTAATCAAAAATAATAATAAGATATATTTTGAGTATTTTACAGTTTCATTACGAAGAAATGATATGAATAAAAGGATGCATTCAAAGCAAGATATAGACAGTCTGCATATCATATTAGATTTCAAAAATATGATTTTTGTATTCTATAGGGAGTTCAAATAAATCAATTTCATTATCGATTAAATTTTAATTGACACCTCTTGTCATGATAGGCATGAATCTAATGCTGAATATGTAGTAAAATACATGAAAACATATGGCAAAATCTACTTCAGAATATTTACAAGTACCATGACATTGGACAAAAGTATAAAGCAATAATCATAAGCAAAAGTACCACAACAACGAATAAAACAAATAATACCACTGTAGTAAATTCAAAAACTACCATTAATGCCAATCCCATCAAATAAATCATATATCAAAAAATAACCAAGCTAGATATGGAAAAAAAGAGTAAAAATAAAATTATAGTAAAGTTACAATAAAGAAAAATAGTGTTTGCACTGTCGAAAATCTATAGATGAAGATTAAAGGTTGATAAAAACACATCAGGTTATATCCAGCGCATTTGCTAGTTAAAATTTTGTTTTTATCAAAATTCACAAAAAGAAATAATGAAACTTGAATGAATTACATTTTCTGTCTATATTCTAATGCATGACTGTACCTAATGGATTGATTGAGCTAATCACAAATAATTGAACACAAATATCCCTTACTGTGCATATGAGATAGATACATACACGTCGAGGTGGCTGACATGTACAAAATCTTCTTGGAATTGTACTACACTGGAGGCTGAGATTGAATGCACAAATGCTAAACTCTACCGAATAATAAAACATACCCTCATTTCTGAATGTCAGCAACTGTCACGCAATCTTTAGACTGGAAAGAAGATAGAAAGTAAGGAAGGAAGGAAGGAAGGAGGGAAGGGAAAGGGAAAGGGGGAAGGCATGATGGAGTGAGTGAATGAAGCAGAGACTGAGACTGAGACTGAGCTGTGTTGACCAGCTGCTCCTTCGTTTCCATTACTGAGCTCCTAGTATTTGACTTGGCATCAGCAGCAGCAGGAGGACGAGGACGAGGACGAGGAAGGCATTCACTCATTATTGTAGAGGGGAATAGTCAGGCCTTTTCCCATCGCCAAGCTCCTCCTTCAGTCGTGGTGATGGTGGTAGTGCAACAACAACAACAACAACAGGGTAATACATTCACCACCAATCCAGCCATGAAAGAGGAGGTGACAGAATGGAGGAAGAAAGAGCGTGACTGGCACTCTGCTGCTGCGCTTAGAGACACAGTCAGAGCTGCTGTCTGATCACTGCTCCAGCAATTTACTCTTCCACTGAACTTGTTGGAGTGTACATCGGTGACGAAGCTCCCCCTTTTTGCAAGTAAGGAGGGGATCCGATTGTTAGCTGCTAGTGGCGAGAGAGAAAGGGAGATTCAAGCTAATTCCCAAATTCCTCCGCTTGGCACAGCTGAAACTTGCTTCCCTGGTTGAGGTCGGTGCATTTGGGAACGTCGCCACGTTTCGGCACTCCGAAGGTCTCCTTGTGCTATGCGATTTTTATTTATGAGGGGAGGGAAATTGGTGGTGGTTTGGCGTGAGTGGATTGGGTGGTGCCTTGTTCGTCACCCCTTCCTTCTCTGAATGTTGTCAACAAGTAATGAAGACCAGTGTTGTCCCAGGTATGCCTTCCTTGATTCATGAGCCTCTTGATCCTTGAGCAGGCCAATTCCGCTTCTCAAAAGTGGGACTCTCAAGTCTAGAGCCAGACCCTTGTCTTCCTCACTACAGGACACTACACATCTCTAATAAATGCTCTTGTCGCTTTTTATTGTTGTCCTTAGGACAGTCATGCGGGCTTCACTTGTGTGTCGCTTCAGATAAACAATGGGTCCGAACTTGGTGATGGAATCATTAGAGCGCCGCTGATGTGGACACTCTTCCTTCCAAATGCTCAACAGAACAACATTCATTTCCAATTAAGGCACTACATTCATAATTGAGATCACGCCCACGGCTTCGTAAGTACCAACACATGCAAACTATGTACAAAAGGCTTAACACAGTATGTCCAGATCCCAGAGTCTCACTTTTCATACTGGCAAGGATAACCCACTCCAGTGGGCAATCATATGAGTAAAAGTCGCAGTGAGAAGTGTTGTTCACTCACCTCACAACATCGATATTGTCCTTGGCTTTGAGATATGCGCAGTAACTCATTATGTCTGGCCGGGCCTGACGGAAGCCTTAGCAGATCAAATATTCCGTTGTCAATGCCAAGGTCTTAATGAGCCTTGCGTAGGATCCCAAGCGATGTGTTCGATTGAATGGCTTCTCCCGGCTGCTGTGATGAAGTCGCCCAAGAAACATTTTACTTTGTTACCATTATCCACAAACAACCTGCACAACACTTTTCTCACTTCGTGTCATTTATGAGGCACACTGTTTTGCAGACTCTTGGATGGCAACCCGTCATAGTCAACACACCAATTGAGCAAGTATGCAATGGTGGTGGATATGGAGGAGCAGGTTTCCGTCAATTGGTTTCATCCGTTGTTATGGATGGACTACTTTGAAGCAGTGCTTGTCTTCCTGTGTACAAGCTTTTATGTAGTGAACTGATTCTGGAAAGAGGGATTGAAGGAACTCAAGTGCGCAGTACCAAAGTACTGTCCCAAGCATTGAATTGTAATTGGAGAGGCAGTATAGTCTTTCTTGGCTTCGCAAGAATTGTTGCACGTAATGTCTTATGTAAACATTTCTTACAATTGTGATCTAACCGCTTCGTGCCATTTCAACCTGAATATCACTTGCCTTTTTTTAGGTTTTATTCTATTTAATCATGAATTGTTTTTTGGATGGTGAGAGGGTGATGCTTTTGCTCTTAGAGGGAGATGTGACTATGTTTTGGCAATCATCTTTAACAGGAACCAAAGGAGGAACAAGTACTTCTGTCATCACAACCAGGTCTCTGTAAAAGTTTCTAAGGTATTTAACAGTACAAGGCGAATTACATAAAAAAGAAATGGGCTTACGTTTCCTACGAGAGATGTCATTGTGCCCCTGCTCCAGACATACTTCTTCAACAAAAAAAAACCAGAAAACAAAAAACAAAAAACACACACACACACACACACACATATATATATATATATACATATGTGTGTGTGTGTGTGTGTTTTGGTTTAGTTCCTCCGCAGAAAATACAAGAATTTCCCAACGACCTATTTTAAAGCTCTTTCTATTAATGGATAACCATTTTTACAAAGAAAATTCTTTACAATTACTTGTTTCAGAGGTCACATGCCTTATGCTCTGAGAAATTTTCCGCTATCAGCCCATCCCTGCAAATCTAAAAACAAAACACAGCACAACGGAGCACACACCTCAACGAAAACTAAAGAGTTATTCAGACATATATTTGAATTTGCAAAGACTTACACCACCCAACAACCGTAAGAGTAATGCAATCAGGAATAGTATTAAATCCTTGAATGTTTCAAGTCGAGAGTGGATACCGTCCTTGCAAAATGCAGAGTTACTCCCTTGCAAATGATAATCAAGCTTGAGTACTGCACTTGTCTTAAGTAATACCCATACTCACTATACCTCAAAAACGAAGATAAGAAGAGGTTCATTTCACGCCCACAAGGAAACTGTATTGGCCCAGAGCGAAACCGAGTGATTTCAGCAGAACTGATTGCGATCAATATCTCCCAGGATAGCCCCTAGGTGAATACCATATGGTCATTCATGTGGACAACTCCTGCTGAAAGCACATACATCAGAGAAGCAAAAGATATGCAGTGCTCGCGGCAAGCCCAGTGGTTATGATCAAGACCGCGATTATTCAGAACATATGCAACCCTTACCATTGTTTTGGAACTTGCTCAGCAAGTTACAAGTTAAAGAAGTTCAGATTATCAAGCCAGAAATAATTGTCATCTGATTTGGAAAATAGATTAAATTTGGCTACCGTGGTGTTGAATCTGACTATCGCAATTTTACAGATCTATCTACATGCAAATAATTTTATCAGCATTGTCTGAAGAGAATATTTACAGTTCACAAGATCATCGTTAATCTCAACGCAGCCTTCGGTGCTTCATGGGAGATCTTTCTAAATCGTAACGCCGCTAAAATTGAAGTATTGGCAGATCTCAACTGAAGAGCGGCTGACAGTGTTTGGAGTGGCTGGTGTTGAAAGATGCACTAAATAGACATTAAAGTGTTGTATGGCAAACGAGTTTGCATGGTTTTTGAAAGTAATAAATCTTGACTATTGACTAGACATAGAACTAGATCTGTGTGCTCGAAGTAGAGGCCGCTTCTTTTTCTCCAATTCGGACAGAGCCCTCTGCAATTGTCGTTGTACTACCACACCGTCTTGAGCTTTAGTTTTCCATTCATAAACCTCAGCTCCCAATTCATTAATTGTGTTGCAGAGCTCCTCTTTCTCCAATCTGTAGTTTTCAAGGGTACAATCCACTTCTGCCTTCAATGCTTCTGTAGCCATGGCAACATTTGAAGCTCTGTTTTTCCACTCTTCAAGAGCTGACTGTGTTTCCAATAACGCAATTTTGAGCTCTATTATCATTGACTCGTTCTCGGACGCCTTTTTCTTCCAACCAAGGACTGATTCTTTGAGAGTGCTTATTGAGTTGCAAAATTCCTGCTTTTCCTGTAATCCTTCTTCAATTCTGAAATCTAACTCCTCCATTAAAGACTTGGTGGTCAAAGTGATACCCACGGCCTTTTCTTTCCATTCTTTCAACTCATTTTGCGACGTCTTCAATTGCTCTTTGCATTCAGTTAACGCTGTCTCAGCATTTTTCAGCTGCGTTTGGAGGGATTCGCACTTCTGAGCCCTCTCTTGCCACACGTATAGCGCCTCTTCGAAATCATTGATAGAGCTGCATAATTCCTCTCTTTCAAGCTTGCCTTCTTCAATGACGCAGTCTAGTTCCTCCTTCAGAGATTCCGTGGCCAGAGTTACAGCTGCGGCTTTCTGCTTCCATTCCTGTAGTTCCTTCTGCGTCTGGGCAAGCATATTTTTCAGCTGCGATTGCAAAAGCTCCCCTTCCTGAGCTTTGGATCTCCACTTGTGAAGTTCCGACTGCAAAACACTGAGACAGTCGATGCCCACTTCGTGATCTTCTTCACTGGTGCCACTTGCGTCATTCTGCACAGACCGAATGGTCCTTATTACAGCTGCAGCTCCGTCTTTCCATTGTTGGAGCTCGTTTTGGGTATCCGTCAGTGAGTCAATCAATTGCAATTGCTCTTCTTCGAGTTCTAGTAGTAATGCATGGCCATCTAAATTTCTCTGCTTCCAGAGGTTCACTTCATACTCCATACTTTTAACCAGATCTGCACGCTCTTGGTCTTTCGCTGCTCCTTCCAGGGCATTTTCAGCCTTCACTTTCCAGACGAGGACTTGGTTTTGCAAGTCCTCAACCACCTTCTGAAGCTCTGCTTTCACCGATTTTCCCTCCTCACTAAAACTGTCTGCTCTCTGTTTCCAGAGACTAAGCTCATGCTCCAAATTCTTCACCAAATCTGTATACTCTTGGTTTTTGGCTACTCCTTCCGAGGCATTTTTGGCCTTCTCTTCCCAGAGGAGCAACTGCTTTTGCAGGTCCACAACTACCTTCTCAAGGTCCGCCTTCGCCGATCTCAACTCTTCATTAGAGGTTTCTGCTTTCTGTTTCAATTGGACAAGCTCAGCTTTCAACGACTTCCCCTCCTCACTAGAAGTTTCAGCTTTCTGTTTCCATTGAGCGAGGTCTAAGTGCAACTCCTGCACAACACCGTCAAATGCGACACGGAGAGATGAACACTCCTCCGAAGAATCTGCTGCAACGACCTTCAAATCCTTCACCTGTGCCTGAAGCTCCGCCACCCGCACCGCACTCCTCTTTCGTTCATGAACAAGATCTTCTAAGGCCTCTCTAGCCTTCACTTGGGAGTCTTTCAATTTCTTCTCAACTTCAAGTCTTTCAAGTTTTTCATGTTCAGTCAAGCTAGCTGCATTCATCCATGCTTCCACTTCCAACTGCAATTCCTCCACCCTGGTGTCATGCCGCTGCTTCAACTGCTCTTGCTCCTTCTCAGCAGACAAAGCCTTCTTCTTCAATTCTTCGATCTCAGTTTTCAAGGACATCTCCAGTCCAGAATGTTCCTTCTCCATACAAGCAACCTTATTTTTCAATTCCTGTATCTTGGCTTGTAACGATGCTTCGAGCTCGGAACGCTCCTTGTCAGCATAGATAATTTGATTCTTCAAATCTTCTATTTCAGCTTGTAAAGAAAGCTCGAGCTCGGAAGGTCCATCTCTCCATCCATTTGACGTGCGCTCTGATACTGAGGAGAAAGAATCCACGTCCTCTTCTTTCATTGCTGATTTCCCTGACCTATCACCTTGATCTATTTTACAGGATTTTCCATCTCCATTGGCAGTCCCTGCAACCATGTCCCATTCAACCAGGTCCCGTTCAGATACCTCAAGTTCTTCCATGTGCAGCCGACCCCCATCAGTGCGACTTGCAGCAATATGCTTCCACTTCTCCAGATCTGCTTCCAATACTTTAATTGAATCACTGCGACTTCTGCAAATGTGCTTCCACTTGTCAAGGTCCGCTTCCAACACCTTAACAGAGCCATTGGCCTCTGATTTCATGCTCACAACCTCTTTAGCCAAAGCATCTGCTTCCAGCCTCCACTCAATCGCCTCTGCCTTCAAATCTTCATTCTCCTGAAGAAGTCTTGCTGCTTCCTCTTTCGATTCTTGCAGCCCTGCGTTTAAAGACTTCACTTGTTTTGCGAAGTCCTCCAACTGCCTCCTGGCCACTATTCCTTTCCCAGCTGACATGGCTGCACGGTCTCGCCATCCTTCCACCTCCGCCTTCAGTAAAGTGATCCGTTTCTCTGAATCTTCTTTTGATGATGCTGCCTCCTGAGCTGCAGCATTTGCCTTGCTCTTCCATTCTACAAGCTCGTTCTTTATCACGACAGCCTCTTCCTGCAGAGCCTTCACGAGGTTTTCCAGCCCAGTGTCATCTGGCTTGACAACAAAAGACTCCTGCCTCAACGTTTTGGAAGAAGGCTGGTTTTGATTCGTTGCATCGAACTGAAATGCATTGAATGAGGCTTTGAACTGCCGCAGTTTACCCCCTTTCGAAGACATAGTTGTTTAGACTCTCCACCCATGTAAATGGGCACCGGCTTGTTACATTCCTGGAAGAGTGGACGTCCCCATACAGTAAGCCTCCATCATTACATGCAAAGACTTGAAAACCAACACCCCAACCTATTCCATTTGGACAGGCAAATGGTTTATGCACACCTCGATGCTCTCAGTTTATGGATTAAGACGCATAGGTTCCTCCGAAGCAAACATTCAAACCCTCGAACAAAGCTAGAAGCTGCATAATGCAATTTCAAAATTTTTAAGTTGTAGCAAATTATTTAAAATGCATGAAGAGATAGATCCATAAATCACTGAAGTTGCTCCTAAATAGATTCCTATCATACTCTGGTATTCCTCAGCATCTTCGACGTTATCATCGTGCAGCAACACATCAGCAGATTTCGAGGAAAATGAGAACTCGCTTGCTTATCTTACCAACGCGGAACTATTCTTTGAACGTCTCGTTGTGAGGGTGCGAACCAACGTTCAACATCCCAACCAAGGCATCTGCACAGTGCGCGCTCATTCCGGAAAGATTCCATTAGAACACCACCCACCTATGCGATAGAGGACAACCAGCACCAAGCTCAAGAAGATGCTTAAACCCAAAACCCTACAAGCGATTGTCTTTGCACGCTCACCCTTTGTCAATTTCTTCAACAACAGATGCAGCTGGAGAATCTGAGACAATTTCCACCGAGATTAACGTTCGAAGATTAGGCTCCGTTACCGTTGCTCTGCGCAATCAATCCCATCGATGAGGGGAGGATACGCAAGAAACACTGTAGAATGTAACCCCCGAAGCTCGGAGGATGACCAAATTGCCAAGGAGGAGAGAAACCAAAACAACGACAACGACTACTACTACTTCCTTCAGCACACATGAAATGTCCTACATATCACGCCGACAATCCTGCCCAATTTCCCAGGCACCTCCTCCTCCTCACCCTAAACCCTCGAGTATTCGCTGCCGTCGGAATCCGACCGGGCACCTCACAATTCCCTGAACACTCCACGCATTGGCATCGGAATTGTGTTGAGTTCTGAGAGTGTGCTCTCGGATCAAACTGATAGTAACCCAAGAGACGGTGCCGAAGCAGGAATTGGAGTGATAAGATCCAGGGAGAGAGGGATCGAGGGAGGAGGGGGATGGTATGAGAGCCGAGCAGGCTGCTACTCGCAAGCAGAAGGGGAGCGAGAGCACACAATCCGGCATGAACGAATTGTCGCCAAGAGGGGGTGCATTATTGGCACCCAGCTCGAAGATCGGATCGGTTCTTCCAGGCCCCTCCGACGCGTCATCGCGCCACGCAAGAATCATTCCTCGCCGCCACCGAATTCCCGGAGCTTAATTGATCGATCCATCCATCGATCCATCGTCCCTTGGGACTCATTTTCTGCCAGCTCACACTCTCTCCGCCCGAGCTTTTCATGGTCTTTCTCCCCCACCTTGACGTCACGGCTCTGTTGACATCGTTCCTATTCCGGTAAAATGGTCCCCACATTCAACCCACCTGATTTCGAACTTTGATATCGTTCTGAAAAAAAAAATATGTATAAAAATAAAAATAAACACACTTTTCTTGAACTGCGGAGTTGAAATCCATATTTTTATGGGTTTCTCAGCGTTGAGTTGGAAGGCATTTTGGGAGCCTGACCAACTTTATCCCCTTTTTCTCTCTGTTTTCACATGAAAGATAGTCCACACTTGACGATTGTTTTAGCTCATCGTACCTTCAAAAAAAACATAAGTTGTCACTATTCTGGAAACTTGTTAAAAAATGTAGTGATTGATTACCAAAAGTCAACAGCACAAATATACACATGTTTAATATTGTCTATGTATTCTTCAACTGCCTTTGCAAATAGTATGCAAACTGTACATAAAATGTGTATGTGATTGGAACCATACTACACACCCAAATCCAACACAAGAAAGATTAAAAAAACACGAACCACCTCTTTCTTCCTTTAATCATTTTATAAATGAAGTTGTGAACTCGCAAAATTTTCAGATTGGGTGAATAACAGTTGCATGAAATTAATAAAAGAGTTTAACTAAAAATTTGGACTTATTGGAGAAATAATGAAAAGAGTTTCTTCTAGATTGACATATAATCTTGTTTGATTAGGCAGGAAAAATGGCAATCAGAGGAGTGAGACTCCAGGTAGCAAAGGGCTGAAAAGCTATGGATCACTTTCTTAAACCAATGCATGAGTGCGAAGCCTGAACACCCAATCTCACCAGAAAAAGAGGTGAATCACAATCAAATTCACCATCCAACTCGAAATGCTCTCAAAAATAGCCAACAGGGCTTGTTGGATTCACCACAGAATGGAGAGCACAATTATCGCCTTGTTAATCGAGCAGCAACACAAAGACAAAAGGCGAGAAGACGGTAACAGAGTTGCCTTCGTTCGAAGCCACCAGCCCAGTCCCACCTGTCGCCGCGACTTAGTCGCCCAAGTCCAGTTGGGTTGTCAGACCAGGCACCGTTGCGCCGCGATTCCAATCGGCCCCACACGGCCCCACCCACCCACTTACCCACCCGTGTGCTTGCCTCGATCTCAGCTGGCACACACACAATGAGGAAGAGGAGGAGGATGCAGAAGAATGGCCGTCCTAGTTCCGTGGAGGTGATGATAAACAACAATAACAAAAATAATAATGAGAAGAAGAAAAAAGCAATGCACGACTACGTCCTTTGCAATGGATGGTGGATATTGCAAAGTCTCTGGATTTCGCCCTGGAGCACACTCCGACGGCTTGTTCACACTGCGCAACCCCTACAGTAGCGACCACACACTGGTCGTGGACCCTTAGCGAGAGGGAATCCTGAGCCACGTTCCCAGGCTTGGTGTTCTTTCGGCACGAGCAGCCACTGTGTGTAATTCTAACGTCCGTTTGCTAATCTAAAAATGTACAAAAAGTAATATACTTCGCGCTTCAGACTCGTCAGCTCCTTATTAGTCTCTCAGAGCATCACTTCCAATACTTTTTGTGTGTCATGTGGCATAAAATGCGTGGTGGAGATACTGAAGGAAAAAGTATCATCTTATTTAAATGCTTACAATGCGTTATCTAAAAGCTGTAGATTGAAGACGTTTCTGTTTGATGTCACTGCCCTTTAGCAGAGTATCAATGTGCAAAGAGGAAAATAAAGGGAGGTGCTTGCTAAGGAGAGTAGAGATGGGGTCCTCGTTAGTGTTGATGACATGTAGGCTTACGATTGAATAAGAGTCCTTAATAAAATTGCTACTTTGCACCACCACATGTCTCATTGCCTTTTGTAATAGATAAACGGGTCTCATGGATTCAAATACAATACAAATAGAAAGAAATATAATACACAATGGAGCTTTTAGGTATGAAGTAGAATAAGTAAACCCATATTGTTGTCATGGATAATATACAAAAAAAAAGTAGTTATTTTAGTTCATTATCTATTTTAGGCATCATTTGCTACACCATCTTTTGCCAACCTTGGATAAATAACATCCACTAAAGACATTAATTGTTGATTAACAATCATGTCATCAAGAAGCATAACTACATTATCAAGCAATAAAGTTTGTATTGTTTTCAATCTAATAAGTAGAAAATAGAAATATTAGTCAATAATAATGCAACCATAAAAAATTCAAATACACTACCATCTATATTTATAATATGTGTGTGCACTCTATACCTAAAAAAATAAATTAACAAACTCAATATTTGTTTGAAGTAGTCCTAAATTCAATCCCATGTTTTCTTTTAATGTATGGATTTTTATTTGAGGCCAAAGTGTTGAACATCAAAAAGATGATGCTATAATTTTTTCTTGAGTTCTTTTTACAATCACTAGCAATATTTGGCAAAAATCTTTATCAAAAACTATTGAAGTTCTTTTAAATAGGCGATCAATATTCCAAATGTCTTCAAAAGAATAATCAATTGCCTCAAGACAATAAGGATATTGTATTGAAAATTCATTCCAAATAGTAAGTGAAATTTAGCAAATAAACTTAGCATGGTTAGAATTCTTAGTAATTGAACAAAAAAAATCTTTGTTACAATTTAGTAGAATCTTGAATGTAGAATGGACAGTTCTTCTCTCAAGTAGCAATGCTACAATTTTTGATGATGCAACACATATGACAATCTTTTGCATCAATCAAACATTAGTTGTCAAAATATTGTAGACAAATATCTTACCAGTTCCTATAGATTTGTTTAGAAAAAACATACATTTATATTCTCTCAATATAAAAGCTTTAATATCATCATATGCCTTTCGTTGTTCAAGTTTTAATTGTGGAACATACTACTTCAAATTTTCTTTTAATTGATGAATGTCTTATGTTCTTTCTTTAGCAACAAATTAATTTCCATTAATTATTACATTCCAATTGTTTCTTAATAATGGTATTAGAGAAAATTGAGCAAACATTCTATCGGAGTCTTACAAAATCTTATCCAGCAAGAAAAGCCTAAAATTCTTAATTTGTTTCTCTATTAGATTACTAATTCTATGTTCTCTTTACAAACACGAATTGAAATCATGTAAGATATTTTTTTAAAATCTTTCTAACAAGTTTAATGGATTTAGCAGATTTTTTTGTAATAGCAAAATAGCAAATAATGCCTTCAATTAAGATCCAATTTATATTCTTGATATCTCTTCCAAACATTGTTGCCACTCTCTATTATTTTTAAGTAATCTTAAGTTGTACATGCACTTTTAAATGTTAAATGGAAAATTCCATGAATAGTCTTTAAGTATTCAAATAAGTGTGGATCTTTAATGTGAATTGACAAAAACCTCAAATAATATCTTTCTCTCATTGTAGGATTTATAAAATATGGACTTTTAATAGCAAATCTATATTTTTTTTAATGTCCACATCCTTCTTATCTTATGCCAAATGAAATCTAAATATCAAATCAAAAAAAGAAAAAAATAAAGAAAAAAACAAACAAACAAACACACAAATTCAAAAAGTTAACAAAAATACAAAAACAAAGTATTATATAATAAAAAAAAAAAAAACTGATTCAATGCAACATCAGCATCAAAAGCATTACAAAACAAAATTTACATTCTGCATTCATGCAACATCTAAAACAAAATCCTACAAACAATCGAGTTTCACAAACACACATACAATTCAATAGTATACAAATAGATTATGTTAACATAATCTATATATTTTTGTAAGCACATTCTATATACAATGTGCTTACAAAAACCAGGCCTAAGTTTTTTGCTATTCACCACAATATTTCAGCAATATCTCTGCAATATATTTCACCAAAATATTTTAGCAATATTTTCACCACATCATATGATAATATTCTTAGAATGAATTCTGAAGATATTATAAAATCTCACACTTAATACAACGCTTTTTTAGTCCATCACAAATCCAAGCATTAATATCATAAAATATTTGTTGGTTTGTTGGATAGAATTAGAACTCCAGCCTCCTCAAAGAAATATGTGTACAACTTAAAGTTGATTATAGTTCTTGATCCCCAATATTTTCAAGCAGTATGATCGTAAGCCCACGCTATTGCTTCTTCCTTACTGTAAGCCCTTGGTGGAATAACAAAGAAACTTTAGTCCACAATTACAACCTTCCAAAAGCATTTCAAGCTAATCTACGATAAAATCCTTTTGAAATTCTGAATGCAAAGCACAATAATAATTTGTAATTCATAAATTTAACAAAACACTAATGTTTGAAGAAAAGAACTTCTATGATGTTCATAAGATCGTAAAAATTTATATATAGTATAAATTTAAACAACTTGCTGAGCCTTCTCCGATGTACTGTACTTGCACAAGCTAGATGCAGTTTGGAAATTATCAAGATATACACAAAACACATTGTTCTTATCCAAAACACAAAACTTAAATACATTCTAAGCCTCTCCTGATGTGTTTGCCTTCCCAATGCCTATATGATTATAATATGATTACAATATGAAGTGCATAAGTCCGAGGAGGAAAAAATCAGTGTGAAACGCCATAAAAAATGCCGTATAGAACTTCTTGATCAACTGTAACATGCAGTGATGAACTGTAAAACAGATTGTGAACTCCACAAAACATGAACGTTCTTTATGATAACAAAGAAGGGTGCATGCGGTGAAGAAGAGCCACCACTTAACTTCTTGAGCAATCTTAATATATAGATTGATTACTGAGTTGGTTAGATTGTATGCAGCTTCCTAATATTCTCAAACACACAGTCAACATGTAGA